AATAATTTCAGTTTATTGTATTTGATGAAAAATGTCTTTGTTGGACGAAACTTAAGTAACATTAGTTACAAATAAAAGTGTTTCCATAATTGGCATTTCATTTATTGTTCAACCCATAACACATGTTGTCAACATTAGATACTTTTAATTTTACTAATCTATGAGTTCAAATAATATGCTATATATAAGCCAAATGTTTTATATGTCTGCGTAAAAATAGTGGTCAAAAATCAATTTAATTTTTTTCAACGGAATGCTTTATTGTGGTCTGTTTATATAGTGCTATAGAGTAGTCAGCTTTTCTGAAATAATGCTGAAAATACTGGATTCAGTCAATTCAGTTTTGTTTTAGTTATTATTTCTATTTATTTCCAGTAATTTTATCTGAACGCCAATCAAGAGCAATGGAGTGGAACTGAAACTATACTCGATAAATGGAAAATTTAGTGTTACAATTAGCATACTTGATGAACACATTGAAAACATTGTTCTAAGTTTTGGCGAATGATATGGGTGTAAATGGATAATATTCAAATACTCATCCTATGTTGCATTTCATCGAATTTTTATAACATACAGTTCAAACGAATTTAGGACGGTTCAAAATAGTTACCTATCCAACTCATTATTATTGTGCAAAACTTTTTTCTCAGTCTCAACTGCGCGATTACATTTGACGGTTCGAAAACCGTTCATATAGCAAACCCGAATACGGCTTCTACCAGATGGTAACATGATACATTTGCGGTTTTCTTGAAAATTACTTACCCACCTTTTTTGGGTTTTTTCACTTTCCACAATCTGAGGAATAAAAAAATTGTAATGCAGAACTTTATACTTCATACCCAAAAAAGGTCAATGAAGACTCTATTTTAACCAGAAAAAAATTAATTTCGTTCTATAGGTACCTAGAAAAATAAACATAATCCGAATACGGCTTCTACCAGATGGTAACATGATACATTTGCGGTTTTCTTGAAAATTACTTACCGACCTTTTTTGGGTTTTTTCACTTTCCACAATCTGAGGAATAAAAAAATTGTAATGCAGAACTTTATACTTCATACCCAAAAAAGGTCAATGAAAACTCTATTTTAACCAGAAAAAAATTAATTTCGTTCTATAGGTACCTAGAAAATTTACTATTCAATTGATACTCAAATATTTCGACCGATGAACTGGCTGTGCTTATTTCATTCTGGTTTGAAGACCGTCGTAGTTTGTAACTGCATCTGGCCGTATTCAGTTTAGATAACGATGATATACACATAATTTATAAATCATTCAGATCATCTCATCACGATCGTAATTGTGGGGAATTACTTCGATCTATTTACAGACGTCGCACGAAAACCATCATATCGACATGTTGCAAATACATTGTTTGTCGGGTTCGTTCGGATGAAGAAGAATAACTAACTCAATATCCTGTTTTCGTGACTTTTTTTTCAGTTATTTTCCCGGATCTTAATCAGTTTTCGATAAGGAAGAATTCCATTACGGTACTCGTTCCCTTGACGGTTTGGTGTTGATATCCCGGCAGCCTAAGAATATCGAAATGTCTGTTTCTCAATCTCTTTACGTTGAGACTTGACATGAAATCAACAACGGCATCCGAATCTGTATTATTTCAGCCATTTCTTGGCAGAGTAAATAATGCCGTCTCGAAAACAATGTCGGGATGTGTCAAAAGCCCTCCGGGGCGAAAGAATTAAATGTGTTCTGTCTCCTTTTCTTGTTATGTACTATTCCTGAAATTAATTTCGAGAATTGTGTTGTGTTTTGTTGTCCTTGTTCGAGGAAAAACGGGCCGAGTGTTGATACGACGACGAGATTAATTGGAGGAGGTAGGAAAAGCTTCGTTCTCGATTCTTACGAAATATTCTCAAAGGTATGGTGAAGTACAAAGAGTTTCGATGTCGTTATATGGTTATATGGCTGCAAACGAAGCTTTGGAACTTTGGATATGAATTTACTTGTTTTTAGTAATTAGAACTTCTAATGGCACTGCTTGCGATATCCTCAATGTACCTAAGTAATAGGTACGGCAGTCTTTTCATAATTAATTAAGGTTTTCAGAGGTACAAAAATGTTATAATTCTATATATGTGCATGTCTGTATGCATGTTTGTCCATGCATTTCTCAGAAAAGAGTAATCGGAGTGTGACCAATTTAAATTGGTGGCGTTGCCGCGTAAACTTGTTCTATATTTTGGCCAAAGATTTTGGTGTAAATGGATAATATTCAAATACTTATTCTCTGTTGCATTTCATCGGTTTTAATACCAACAGTTCTTATATTTTTGGGTTGACACCGTAGTGTAAAGTGTTTGCAGTTCAATTATTCGATTTGTGTTTATTACTGCCATCCAAGAAAATTTCGTTTTCAGACAAAAATACATCATATTCATTCTTCAAATATGCATTAATAATTACTGCAATGCAAACACGTCTTATATAAAACGATCGATTATGACCTGTATTTTTTAGTTTCTTTAAATTTAGAACATTTCCAATAATGATACTGACAAAAGTCAACATATATTTGAAAATCAAAGTTAGTGAAAAGTCCATATTGAAAACCAACATTAGAACATCTCCAATAATGATACTGACAAAAAGTCAACATATATTACCTATAAATTACCTATAAATACTAAAAGTTACCAAGTCATCTATTTTATTTTATTTTCTGATTGATTCGGCTAGTAATTTCATAAACGACACTTTATGTTCAAGAAATGTAACACGACACGTTTTGCTATCATAGTAGTAAATGACATACTGAAATTTAATTCTATTATATACTCTAATTTTTATATATCCCATGTAATCAGAAGTGAGAGATACCTATTTAGGTACTTCGATCGTAATTACTTAAATCATCTGCTAAACTTTTTTATACCTAAGGTACATCTTCAAATTATGATTACTTAGAGCATAAAGACTTAGAGCACTTTCTCGATCTGCGTGTGGGTTGTTTTTATATATCGTAATGGAAGTCTCTGGAAGCTGATATAGAAGTCTCTCGAAGCGACACGACATCTAGAACGATCGCGAAGCGCAAGTCAAGTTTAGCGCGACCTTGACTAAGTCTCAATCGATTGATGTAGACCAGCGGCGGCCGCCGTTATTTTTTTTTTCAGGTGGCGGTTTACAAGAATACTTTCCGAGACATAAATAATATTCGGTTACATTCATGTAAGACCAGAAATTTGAATGTATCACCCCAAAATGTGAAACGTGAAATGAAAACGCCATTATGATGCTATCCATCATTCACAAAACGAAAAACAGAGTTTTCTTTTGCTCACGGAAAAAACAAATACCGAGTTGTTTCGTATATACTTTTGATTTAGTCTTTTTGGTTGATTTTCGTTTAAATATAATTTAAATTTTTCATATATATCATACTTTCGTGGGTTATTGAATGCCTGCCGTTCAATGTACAGTTGCTATTAAAATTTTATGAAACACCTCAGTTGTGGACGTGAAAGTAATTCAACTACTTTTCTTTCGTTATTTTATCTCGGTATCTCGGGAAATTCGCAGAGCGAAACTACCATTCGTTTTTTTCATTTTGAGCTTTGAATTTTATGACCCAAGTCGGAACGTAAAAATTTTCGATTTACAATTCGAACTGGACGGTTTCTTCAATGAAAGGTCAAAGGAAAGCTATTGCGGTTTATTGGTAATATAATCCGGCATTTCTGGAAAAAAGTTGATCTCGGATTGATATTGAATCTGAAGTTTATACAATCTCTAGGACAGTCATTGGAACACAAATTCTGGCTCTTGACGCGCAGTAGTTGATGATGTCAACTAGTTATTGAGAAACGCGTTGAAAGACAGTATTTTTTACAGATGTAGAAAAAGTATTCTCAGTGGAAGGTTTAAATCGAGGAAACCGTTAGCAGGGCATAATAACTACAGCTAGAGATGAAACAAAAGCAATAGTACTCTCCATATATCAAAGAAGTAATTGCATAGAACTGGCCGATACTTGATGAAAATCTATATTAAAAAACTAATCAATACAGTTTATTGTATCACTATACCATAACTTACTCAAGCTTCCTCAAGCTAGCGAAACACGTGTCGCGGTTTTTGTGATACCCTTTATAGTGAAAATCATACAATAAACTATATTGATTAGTTTTTTTTTCAAAGAAGTGCATATTCATCAACTATGTGGGATGGAAACATGAAAAAGAATCAACGATCGACATTACACTTAGAAATTTAAATATTTATTAAGGAGTCTTGTGAAAATTCACCAGAAATAACAAAATAGCGACAAATTCAGATAATATAGTGTGAGGTTTGTACCCTTCGCTACTTTCTCAATGATGTTGATGGGAAACATTCATTTACATCCAAACCAGAGGATGAAAATTATTACATTGAATGTTGAAGATTTTTACGAAACGCTTGTTGACATCGTTGACTTTCCCTGTTGCCAATAATCCGTGCATACTCCTCATGCCTATCAAAGTTTGGAAAAGTTCTGCATTAAGAAGCCTGAGCTGGAGAGAAAGGTAGCTGCCTTGACTTATCATATAAAAAAAGTTGGAAAATTCATGAAATCCCAAATAACTCCAATACAGTTGCTTGATTTTCAAGAAACTCATATGCTTAATGGAGTAGATATTATTAATAACTATTTTTGTTTCTACCTTAAGCCAACGCTACCAGAAGAAATCAAAACTACGTCGCTTTGACGTAGCAAATGTCTTAGTGAGAGTTGAGAACTTTTTTGATCATTATGCTAATATTTTCTTGAGTTGGGTAGAAACAACTGTTTGAAAACATTAGAAAACAGGAAATCTGGAGTAAATACTAACCTAGCATCAACGGAATATTTTTGAGGTCTAGTTAAATTTGAGCTTTGCAAACTATATCACACAATTGCCCTACCTGATCTTACTGAATCTGTCATTTTTGTTGATGTTCATAAATTGTATTGTATGCTTCACTAAATAATTGATTTATCTTTCCAGAACTCCTGAACAATGCCCAAGCGTAGTTTCTCTGCTGGCTGAGAGTTACAACCCTCACGTACGGTACGGAGCTGCCATGGCCCTCGGTATCGCCTGTGCTGGCACCGGACTCCGCGAAGCTATTGCTCTTCTGGAACCGATGGTGATGTTCGATCCAGTCAATTTCGTTCGTCAAGGAGCTCTCATCGCTTCTGCCATGATCTTGATCCAGCAGACCGAACAGACCTGTCCTAAAGTTAGTTTCTTCAGACAGACTTACGCCCAGGTCATCGCCAACAAACATGAGGATGTTATGGCCAAATTCGGAGCTATTTTGGCTCAAGGTGAGTGCATTTTTGTCAAACCGAAATGAGCATTTTTTTTTTATGTGAAATCCAACATAGTAGTGGTGCAGATATTTTGACCTGTATATTCATCTCAGAATTATAGTAATAGGTACTATGGTTTTTTTTTCAGGAATTATTGACGCTGGAGGCAGGAATGTTACATTATCACTCCAGTCGAGAACAGGACACACCAATATGTTGGCAGTGGTCGGAACTTTGGTGTTCACCCAGTATTGGTACTGGTTCCCTCTCTCCCATTGTTTGGCTCTGGCTTTCACCCCAACTTGTGTTGATCCAGTCAATTTCGTTCGTCAAGGAGCTCTCATCGCTTCTGCCATGATCTTGATCCAGCAGACCGAACAGACCTGTCCTAAAGTTAGTTTCTTCAGACAGACTTACGCTCAGGTCATCGCCAACAAACATGAGGATGTTATGGCCAAATTCGGAGCTATTTTGGCTCAAGGTGAGTGCATTTTTGTCAAACCGAAATGAGCATTTTTTATATGTGAAATCCAACATAGTAGTGGTGTAGATATTTTGACCTGTATATTCATCTCAGAATTATAGTAATAGGTACTATGGTTTTTTTTTTCAGGAATTATTGACGCTGGAGGCAGGAATGTTACATTATCACTCCAGTCGAGAACAGGACACACCAATATGTTGGCAGTGGTCGGAACTTTGGTGTTCACCCAGTATTGGTACTGGTTCCCTCTCTCCCATTGTTTGGCTCTGGCTTTCACCCCAACTTGTGTTATCGCCCTCAATGAACAACTCAAAGTACATAATTACATTTGTCATCGATATACAATTTTTAATGCCTCCTTTTTGTAGATGCCCAAGTTGGAACTGAAATCGAATGCAAAACCAAGTCTCTACGCATATCCAGCTCCAATGGAAGAGAAAAAGCGCGAAGAGAGAGAGAAAGTAACCACCGCTGTTCTGAGTATCGCTGCAAGACAACGTAGGAAGGATCATGAAAAGAAGCATCGGGATGAAAAAATGGATGTGGTGAGTTTTTTCTCTTGAAGATGTTCAATGAGTGATACATTTTGGAATGTAAGGTAACCGTGTCTTCATTTTCTTCCAGGACGAAGACAAGTCTGCAGAGAAAGATGACAAGAAAACGACGGACGACAAGAAAGCAGAAGACAAGAAACCAAGCAGCTCCACTTCTGAGGACAAAAAAGAAAAGAAGGATGAAAAAGACGAGAAGAAGAAGGAGCCTGAACCAAGTTTCGAAATTCTGCAAAATCCTGCGAGGGTAATGAGGCAGCAACTGAAGGTTCTTTCGATAAATGATAGTAGCCAGTACGCACCCGCGAAGGAAGTATCCATCGGTGGCATAATCATGGTTCGCAATCTCAAGCCTGGAGATGAAGAACTTGTTGAGCCCGTTGCAGGTAAGATATGGTTTTCAGGAATAATGCTCATTTCTTGAGTTTTACCGAAGTAAAATTGATAAAGGTCAAAGCTGTTTTCAGTTTATTATCTTTTTATAGAACTAAGAAAAAATAACTTTACTAAATGAATAGAGATTATGGAAACTTTTTTGTTTCAGCTTTCGGACCGAAAGGTGAGGATGAGAAAGAACCTGAACCACCAGAGCCATTCGAATGGACTGAGGAATAAATTAATACTAATACTATAGCATCCTCTTTCATTGACGCTTCTTTACACAGTCCACTTTCCCATTATATTATTAGCCATTAGAAATATAATATGGATGTATCTAAGTAGTTTTTCTGTTATAAGCTATTTATTAACCTGGGAAATATAGTCCCAGTCATTTATTGTCACATATGTAATCACCATCTTGATGTTTCAATAAAGAATAAGATCTATAGAGAGTTTTGTTCCATAAAGTAGATCGTAGGAGTGGGAAAATGTTCAAAAAGGTTTGGGAAATGGGAGAAAATCAGCTCATTTAAATACAGTCACCTGGGTACTGCATTGAATTTTGCGGGGCTGGACCTAGGTTTCAATCAGGAATAACTCATTTCTGTAGATCGAGGTTTCAACATTACAGCATCTATACTAAAACCAATAATGATTGAGAGTAGAAGTGANCCGCTACTAGTTTTTGGCGTTTGTACGTCCCCATGAATTTCTGCTTCTCTTAGTATTTTGTAAATCGATGATTTTAGTACACCGGTATAATCAGAGCACATATCAACTAATTTATCTTTTGTAATTGTGGAACTCAATGATGTAGAAATGCTCGGTTGGTTATTCGGAGGTATACACGCAGAATTACAGCACATATGCACATCTTTTGGTGGCTGATGATCTCTTTCAAGACAGTGAAATACTCGCAGTACAATTTTGTTTTTCTCTTACTGACCAAGACTCTGACCGTTTTACCTTTTTCGACGTGGAAAGCCCGACCATGTCTCCCATTTTTTGAGTAGTTTGAGAACGGTGTAGAAATATAATTATGTAACGCTTAAACACTTATTAGCACTATTATTTTCACCAATTGTTATCACAACACGTCGATTGCTGACTAACTTAACTGTAAAACGTACAATTCACGCTGTATAATTCACAAACCAATGATACGCTCATGGCTGCAAGTACATTAGTGAGGACTGCAACGATGAGATGGAAGTTACTGTAAAGTGACAAAGACAGAAATATCGTTGCGTACAGCGTTGCCACCAGTTGTAATAAATATCTAACACTATACAGAAAATAATGAATTTTAACTGATCAGTAATCAGGAAATGTATAAGTATTACTCATTACAAGCTCATTACTGATTTTTGTCATAAATAATACCTTTTAATCGTACTAGTATTGTGTATTATCTATAATTTGCCACAACCTACAACTCTATTGCTTACTATATTTTGATTCTGCTATATACTGGTAACGTAAAATTTAGATATGACAACGCGCTTTACTCTCAATCATTATTGGTTTTACTATATTGTATTAACTATCAGCAGATGGCATCACTTTTACATCACTAATCAATTCTTAGACTGAGTGGGTGGGTAGTTTGTGAGGAACTTCTGAGCAATGACTAGAATTTTCGTTAGTCATGAAAGCTATAGATTACGCTGTAGACGACCCCTCCCGATATAGAAGGCCCCGACACTCTGTCGAATTAAGCTCCTTATGTCCTCCGTTAACAGATGAATAATATCTCCATGCATCTCACCCCAGCCAGGTAGGGGTACACCACGAAGGGTGGTACTGATGTCTGAGGACATTCATGCTGCCATCACAAATCGGTTATGACCCATTTGTGTCAAAAGCCAGTCTAAAGGGTAGAGGAGCCTGAATGAAATCGAGATGACGAACATGACTAGAATTTTCTCTGGCTATTATGTCAAACATTTATATTTGACAGAAAATAACTTTCGAATGAGTTGCACATAAAGCGCGTCATTTCTCGCCACGTCGAGAGGTTTACAACACTAGGTAATATATTAGAAATGTGATAGGTGATCTATCAAAACTGACAGGAGACGTTTGAAAATGCTCTGCACTCGTCGGTTGATGTATCAAAATTAACAGGAGACGTGTGAAAATGCTCTGCAGTCGTTGGTTATGGTACATCAACTGTCAGTTTTGATACATCAGTTGTTAGTTCTGGTGCACAAACTATCAGTTCAAAGTTTCTCTAAATGTAACAAAATGGGAAAAACGTATCTTTGTAATTTTCACCACCAAAAAGTAAAACTTTATCACTGAAGTCACGCCAGTAACAATACTGGCAGTAGTCAGATTGGAAACGCATAATCAGTATTTTGGTTAGTTTTAAACTTCGACAGTTTCATCATGTTCCTCGAGTGAACCCTGAGCTATATTTTTGGTGCTATAACTTCACATATGTCATAACCCTAATCCCTCTGAATATGCAATATTTCTAGGAATTCCAGAGGGCGAGAGAAGTCCGGATTTGAGTAATATGTAAATACAGAAGGGTTTCAGAGTTTGTTTCATAATCTAATACACATCGGCAGTCCTCTGTTTTTGGAGTTGAGATCTGGAACAACACGAGAACAGCAACATATTCTGAATAGCGTTGCAGAACTTTCCAGTTGAAGTTCTAGCAGCATTATGAGATTTCATTAATTTTCGAGAGTACATTGAATGATTCCTCACAGCTGTGTTATTATATTTAAGTAGAATCAATCCTACTAGTTCAATTCTTGTTTTGGTACTATTGAACACGTGATTTCACTGTGATGAATAAATATATGAAAAACATAAAAAGTTTTTCAAGAAAACCAATGATTGGATTGAAAAAAAAAAGATGAAAGTCCATGAACGACGTCAAAATACAGTAGAATCCGGATATAATGACCTTCAAGGGACTGGTTATACTATGTCGTACTAACCGGACGACGCGCAAAATGGATTAATTTTGTGGTAGTAAAGTGTACCTTAGTTCATTAGTCATTCATTTAGCTGTTCGGATTGCTGATCAATAGGTGAATAAAATATATTATAGGAATCCCATATGCTTTATTTTAATAGTTCTTAAATATCCTAATGTATAAACATATAAAATACACACGCAATGAACGAAAAAACTGTGTTTTCATCATCTCTAAATTGCGCACATAGAGTAGGCCAAACTTGTTCTAACCAATCGATTACATCACTTTGTTGAACTGACATAGACTCGCCAGCAATCTTACCATAGCCCATGTTGTATCTCACTTTGAAACGGTTTATCCAACTCATGGAATATGTGAAATTTTGCATGTCTAACTGTCTAGCGAAAAAGTTTGCTTTCTCTTGTAGCAGGGGTTCATTAAGGGGTATTCTCCGGTCGCGCTGAAGCTTGAACCACTGTAACAATGCCTTATCTAACTGCTCATGAGTAGAAGTTTGCATTTCAAAACATTGGCATTGAACAGCGACTCGATCGTATCTTTATTGTTTTTAATTATGGATATTGTAGAATGGGATACGCCAAACTCCTGCATTCGATTCACCGGCTTCTAATCGGTGTAATATTGCACTTTTTTCTTCAATTGCAAAACACTTTCGCTTCACAGAATTCATTTTGTCGAACTTTATGAACTTACAACAAGTGACAAAGACTTCATACTGGAACCTCTGGCGTATTGCGCACATAGAGTAGGCCAAACTTGTTCTAACCAATCGATTACATCACTTTGTTGAACTGACATAGACTCGCCAGCAATCTTACCATAGCCCGTGTTGTATCTCACTTTGAAACGGTTTATCGAACTCATGGAATATCTGAAATTTTTCATGTCTAACTGTCTAGCGAAAAAGTTTGCTTCCTCTTGTAGCAGGAGTTCATTAAGGGGTATTCCCCGGTCGCGCTGAAGCTTGAACCACTGCAACAATGCCTTATCCAACTGCTCATGAGTAGAAGTTTGCATTTCAAAACATTGGCATTGAACAGCGACTCGATCGTATTTTTATTCTTTTTAATTATGGATATTGTAGAATGGGATACGCCAAACTCCTGCATTCGATTCACCGGCTTCTAATCGATGTAATATTGCACTTTTTTCTTCAATTGCAAAACACTTTCGCTTCACAGAATTCATTTTGTCGAACTTTATGAACTTACAACAAGTATCAAAGACTTCATACTGAAACCTCTGGCGTAAAATCAATCTATATTAATATATGTTAGTAGTATCTATCAACAGAGGTACCTAAGAATACTACCTGTTAGTAGTACCTATCAATAGAGGTACCTAAGAAGAGGGAGTGCGCCGAGGTATTGGTGCGCAAATTGTGTAAACAAAACATTGCGCGATGTTTTAACCGGATGTATTATCATGAAAAACGGTCGCTATAAGCGGTTGGTCGCTTAAAAGGGAGTCACACTAAACGGTATATTTTCTCAATAACTAAATATGAAACTAAACTTGAGTAAACATTATCGTCGCTGTAAACGGATAGTCGTTATAAGTGGAGTCATTATATATGAATTCTACTGTAACTGCAAAATGTTTTTAAAGAACAATCTCGAAATATAGTCTCTCGAGGATTTCAGCACTGAAAAACGAGCAATTTCAGTTGAAATAACGGTTATGCCTACTAATTTTCAGTTCAACAGAACTCCGAACTTCAACTGTATGAATCTCGGTGAGAAGTTTTGTCTATAACCTACTCTGTACCTACTGAGAACTTGGATTTGATCTGTATCTGTCGGAGGCACGATTAAAGAAAAGAAAATATGTCTGTGATCGACTAGAATATTCAGTTTATCATGATCGACTAGAATATTCAGTTTATCATGATTTGAATGCAAATGTTCACTCCTGATTGGTCTACACTTGTGCTTGATTGCTCTGATTGGCCCGCGGAATTAACAGGTATTCTGCGTGTGGGATGTCGATCTGATTCCTATTTTTGTCCATTTCTGATCTTTTTGGGTACTGAATACTACCTTATTTTTAACATAAAAGATGATACACCGATCAAAAGTTCAACCAGTAGCATACCTGTCAACGACTTGAACCAATCAGAATACCCTAGCACTGACCAATCGGGAGTGGCCTTTGCATGGACATCAGACTCCCACCTTCTTCATCCCCACCCACTGTTTGGAATGGGACCTTCGTCACTGGTTCTCTTGCCAAAATTTACTATTTCTACACTTTTGAAAGTGTCCAAAAATCTTGTGTCATGTTCCAATCTCAACAAAATTTCAGACAGTTTTCTTTCATTCTATAGCCGTTTTCCAAGGCGTGTCTTTCAGACATGGATTCAAAGTTCATTGTTCTTCCATATGAACCAGGATGTACTGATGGGTTAGATAATATTTTCAAGGGATTGAACGAGAAAGTAGTCTTCAAATCTTCTTGTTTACTCCAAAAAAATGTTGGTTGACCCTAAA